AAGCTGAGAATGTTTCGGAGTGTTCTATGGTCTGCTGGGGTAATAATATAGTGTAAAGCGCATAGAGCCTGCTGTTGAGCCGGGATATGCGCTATACAAATGCTATCTATTATTATTATTATTATTATTCGTAGATGAGACATACCATATATTATAAATAAAAAATGAAAGCAAATTTTATTTAAAATCGTAAGCTAAGCTCTTTTTCAGAAGCGAAACCGAAACATCTTCGCCAGCACCAGTTGGCCAGAAATAAAAGGTATTGCTATCAGCCCATTTACACACGTTGAAAGCTGAGGACACGTTTTTAGGGAGTGACATATCTTGTTAACAATCTTTGGTGAAACTTAAAACGACTGAGATGTCGAAGAAGTCTTTGAAACAGAGAGATGTAAATCTCAAGAGTCGGCGAAATAGAGTTGTTAGTTTCCGTTACAAGTAAAAATGGCATTTAAAAGAAAGTAGATGGATTATCAAGAAAATGTTTAAGAGCACCTCAGAGGGGTGTGGTATTACCATACGGGCTAAATTACCTGAAAATATGGATGTATGAAGTTACTGAAAGTTGAAAGGACCTTATTAACTCTTTAACATCGTAGCAGACACACAGACGACTCTTTATTTACTGGGGGTGCCCATTGGCACGATCGGTTCAGTTCGGTTTGGTAGGCGAGGCTTGCCAGATTGAGGGAGCAAAGCGATCGCCCGACTCGCAGCCTAAAAAAACCCAACAAAAAACGGTTGGCGATCTGTTCGTCGATCCACGGGGTGCCCATATGGATGGTCGGGCCGATCGCCCGACTCAATTGCCTCAAAAACAAACGTGTTTGTTTTCAGTTTCAGTCGATCGAGTCGGGTGATCGGCCCGATCCAGTCGTAGTGGGCACCCGGGCACTTGTGTTTCGTTATAAAGTGCAGCATAGCAGCGCGTCTTTGAATAACTCTTTGAGGAAGCGCATTCTGATCAAAACTTTGTGGCAACGCTTGGGACACGATAACAAAGAAGCGTAACTTTATTATTCATGCAGATTTTTTTCTTCTTCTGATTTCTGCATAATCTGAAAATTAAAATGGAATGCAACAATGCAACAGCATGCTCACAATGAAATAATGCTAATTCGTCTTTCAGATTAAATGTGTGTATTGTTGTTCGAAAAGTGACGCGACATTGCCTTTGGTCTGGGGATGATGGGGCACTGCAGTAATGTATGTATGTGTCCACTCTACGTCTTCAAGTTAAGTATTGTCGAATAACCAGAATGCACGTCACAATTGGTTAAAATGAACTTTAATATCGGAGGGCAGAAGCGCTGGTCCACAATGGGTTAAAATGAACATTTATGAAGCGCTGGTCCACAATGGGTTAAAATGAACATTTATGAAGCGCTGGTCCACAATGGGTTAAAATGAACATTTATGCGGCGCTGGTCCACAATGGGTTAAAATGAACATTTACGAGGCGCGGGCTTGAGTGCTAATTCCTCTGTGGTTGGCCGCAGAGATACGCTGCAGGATGTGGCCAATGCAAGGGGTCCTTGGGTCAATGTAATTAGAGGGCCGGAGCTCAAAGCGCGTGGGTTCGCATCGCTGGCGTGGTGTCTACGTCATGTTCCGATAGGGCGGCTTGTGTGTGAGAGAGGAGAGTTGATAGTGTGGGAGATAAAGGGGTATTGTATGTCGTGGGGATACGAGGGTGTGTGTGTGTGG